CAAAGGATTTTCAGTTGCTGTTCACTAACTCATGTCTGCAACATATCTCTGAGATACACCCTTATTTACTAACACAGGGAAGCTAGTGCATAGTAAATCAGGATGTAACTTTCCAGCCCACTAGGTCCTCTGAACTAGTTTCTATGCAGATATTCATAATTTATTAGTATATTAATTCAACGTAAAAGTAGTTCAAAGTAACCCAATGCACTTTCAAAATGGAGCAAGCTGCTTTGCACGGACTATAACATTGCTGATCAGATCAGCAGAGACCAGTCATGTAGATGAGAGACCCAAGCAGTGCTCTGGACACACCACTTCAGATTGTCCCTGCCATAGGTTTAACTATGTGATTTTGGGAATCCCCTCCTGAGCTGCAAGAGGCCAAGTTGCTGGGTGACACTGGTAAGTGCCAGCAGAAGACACTAACAGTCCTTTTCTAGAGCATCAGCCTGGATGAGACCTGGAAGAAGCACAGATCTGACCATACTATGCATGCTGAGAGTCACCAACAAAACCATATGATCCCTGTCACAGCAAGGCAACTGAAAGAGGCCCAAACAGAGCCACCATACCATCTGTAGTCTGACTACAACCATGTCTTCCATTTTTCCTCTAACAAAGGCAGAAGACGGAGAACTTATTTTGTTTGAGTTTTTGTTTGACCACGTTTGACCATGCCAAAACATGAATCAGTCATTTCACATTAGCATTGCAACCAAATACCAGGCACATACAGCAATTGTTGCTTTCTCTTTCCCCTTCAGGCTGGTACAACAGCTTTTAAACATGATATATTGGCCCAAAAGGGGACTCAATAATCCCTTAACAATAGAGTAGGTCTGCTTGAGAAAAATTAGCTTAAGCAGCTCAATGAGACACTGCAACCTTTCTTGGTGAAACCCTGACATTTGCCAATGCATAAGATCATATTTATGAGGCTTTTCAGTTACATAAGGGCAGAGACATCCAAGCTTTAGAGCCACAAACTCTTCCAGATTATCTAGGTTTGACCAACTACTTTGTAGAGTTATTGCTACTTTGCTGACAAAATGCCTTGGTGACTAAGACCCACTTTCCTCATCATATTCACGGTATGGAAGAACTTCTGGTCCAGTGACTTTTACTTTAAAAGACAATTCTATTTACTGACATTTGACAAGTTTTTCACTAAAGAAAAAAATATAGATCACATGCACTCAAGAAACAGTAATAGAGATGGATGACATACAAACATTTGAATTAGGTCAAAGAAATCTTTTATTACCCTTAGACTAGACCTGACAATAATGAACAGAAACGACCTCTAACATGCCACAAAGCAACAACTATTTGCCTTTTCAATTAATTATTCCCTCATTGCACATGTATAAGCCTCATTAATGGTAAAATAACTTATGTGCACGATGTGAGAATAAAAAAGGAGTCAAATGGCCCCAATTTAGCCATGTCCTGCTGAGTATCCTTGACTCATCAATGCTTTACAAACAACTACTTCCAACAACCTCTGCCATTTATGACGTGAGGCAAAGCAAAAGAGGCCATAAGAAATTTATCTTTTGATTTTTGCAAATCTTAAAGAGTTAATTTCTATAAACATCTGGGATGAACACAAAAAACTATCCCAAGTCTCTCCACAGGTTGGGTGGAAGTCAGAGAAATACAAAGATATGTACAAAGAAATACAATACACATGTACTTCAGTGTGTCCATTTTTTCTGTCTTGAATGTGTGATAAATGCTTATGCAAATATCGATGGTCTTTAAAGAAGCAGCCAGCTTAAAATAGTTAAGGGCTGGGAAATTAAGGCACATGAAATCTAAACTGTTTAATAGGCAATAATAGCTGAATCAGTATGCAACAAGATCTCTTATTGCATTAAAAAGTGACAACTCTTGTTGTATAAGTGACAGCTTAAAAGATGCCTTAATCAAGAAAGAAAAATTATTTATTGAACTTTTCAAATGTCAAATTAAGCTTCTTCACTAAATGTTCATTAACTGCCAAGAAAATTCTTATTAATTTTAAAGCACCATGAATGCACTCTCACGGAATGACCTTATTGATGCAAGCTTCATTTCTTTCAAACCTATGTTTCCCTCCCTCTGATGAAGTGATATTAGCAAAGATCCTAGGACCTCTTTTATCAGATTAGATTTTAAGACACAGGAGAGATCCTATTCCTCTGCTCTGACCAAAATACTAACCTGAGTGTCACATTACCAGAGCCTTAAAGTCACACTAACTTCCAGTATGTTTCACCATGCTTCGCATTACAGAGGTTTGAGATGGCAACATAGCAACATCTTACACAAAATATTTGCTGACTCACCTCCCCAATCTGCTGGTGACATAAACCACATAACACCCTAAACACACCATATACACTCTGAGCAGACAGCAATTCAGAAGTTAAAATCAGCATATTGCATAAATGCTGGCTGCTCCCTTTCCCCTGTGGTTTCCAGCTCTGACTCTGTTTGTTGTACTTGATGAGCTAGCAACTTGCCTGAGAATCTGCTTAATTCATTCAGCCCTTATTCCTCACAAGGGAACAGCTCACCTATTTTTTTTTCTCCAAATACAGAATTTGCCAGGCTTTCTCCATGCCAAAACAACCTTGGAAAACTACCCTGATGCCAAATTACTGAAGGATATGTGCAGTCAAGATCCCTTTCTGCAGCTAGGAGTAGGAATTTACAATTTGGCTCCCTCTCATTAATGGGATTTTGCCGTCTTTTGTGTTAGTGGAATCATAGCCTAAAAAAAATCCTCTTACTCACTCCTGCATAGTCATTAAGGCTTCCCTTGTGGACAGTGGTGATGTCTGAAAGAAATTAGGCTCAATTAGCAACCAGCAAGATCAAACTCGAGCACACATTTTCAGATACAGTAACAGTGTTAAAAAAAGAAAAGAAAAAAAAAAGAAACAAGGAAAACAACCCATTGTGTCTCCCCACAAGATTGCTGCCACTGTGCTCACCACAGCAGCCACTGTAAGTGTTAACTCCACGCACATACACATCTCCAATCCAACTGTGTCCACTTTGCCAGCTGCTCCGCTGCAAAGCAAACAACACAATGCTAGTGCTGCAACAGGCAGGTGCCTTCAGACTTTGTCTCCTAGGTGTTTTCCAATATAACCTTAAAAGCTAAGAGTCCATAAAATTGCTATTGAAAAAAGAACCTCACACATCAGCGCAGAAGGTCTGGTTTTAACAATGGATTCACATTTGCTTGGGGGGGTGGGGAGGGGGAACCTGATGGTAAACACGGCAAATCACCAAAAATAAAGGGAAGAGAAGATTGAGAGAGTAAAGGATTCCTCATGAGAGAGAAAGTACACAGAAATTAGAGATGCTACTCATGAATAAGGAAGAGAGACTGGAAAACCTTCAGCAACAAGGGTGGATATCATATTCTCTCCAGACACATTCTGCCTTACCAACACAAGCCAATGATTTTGGAACAAAATTAGACTTTGAGTAGCATACATTAGACAATATTTGAACAAGAATACTACTACCCAGCTAAACCACCAGGATCTCAGTCTCAAGTGACTACTGGCAGCATATCTTTGGTGTTATCCTGGCAGAGGATATAAATACAAGCTGCATCTGAAACAAATCACTTTTGGAGCTGCTGTCACAGCACTACTCCTGCTACTCACATAGTACAGCTGTCGTTACAGTACAGCCTTGGACTACTGTGCAGACTAGATCATATTATATCACATGTATCACCATATCACACTATAATTGTCATGTAACTTTACAATGCTCATTCAATTTATATCAAATAAAGCAAAAGGGAGTAATTGTTTTCAAAATATTAAGTTCCTGAAGTTTTCTTTCAAATATATTAGTTTATTTGGTGATTTGTCTGCCAATATAGTGCTAATAACTTGAATCACTTATGAGTGCAAGACACTCAACCTATGGGAGACAAGGGAGACAAGCTAGGAGGCTTCTCAATCTGAGGATAAAAACTTTTTTGCTGTTTCACTCATGTTTAGGGTAAAAACAAAAAAACAAAATAAAACAAAAAAAAAGAAACATACTAGATCTCAAGCCTTTTTTGACTGTTTTCATAAGAGATTCTCAATTTGAGACAAGTGGAGAAATTTTTATCAAGAATATTGATCTTGCAGGAGAGGAGGCAGCCATCTGCAAACACTTTTACTATTTTCTGACTTAGCAACCAGCTTCCACTCACAAGACCAAAGAATTCTTTGCCTCTTAACCTTGCAAATAATCGTTTGAATCCTAGGTGTACCACAATTTAATCTCTGCATTTGCTAACCTCCTCCAGCAGTCTCATTATTGTATTAGCCACAGGTCATCCACATTCTCAGCTTTCATAAACATATGGCCAACTTTTACTTTTCATCACTTAATGATGCAAAGCCTTCCTCTTAATGCAGGTAAAAAAGCTTGACAATACATTTATAAAACAGGATTAACTTCTCCCTTTCTGAGACCTTTTGTTCCAAAGCAAATCACTGTATTACCATGCCTATTTTATTCTGGTGCCGGAAAGAAAAAAAAAAAAAAAGAGTTAAAATAAAAGGTAACTCTCTTTAAAAATCATTTATTTCATTTATTTCAGAAAAAATACTGTTCTGCAATGATTTTATGATAACTGTTGCAAACCCTGTACCTTATTAAACCATTCTGGCTACGCTGCTGCTGCGCTGTAACAGACGCAGGTTACAGGTCGACACCCAGCAGGCAGCTGGACCTCCCGCATCTGAGCTGCGCGCCGACCCTGCCTCCCTCCACTGCCCAGAGGTCCCTCTCCTCGCCAAGCCCGGCGACACCCGTGGTGGGGAGGCTGCTGGAGCCCCCGCGGGCCGGGGAACGAGTTCAAAGCCCCAAGCAGGGCTGAGAGCGCGGTTCTCCCCTCCTCCCGGCCCGCTCCAGCCCCTCCGCCCGGCCCGGAAGGCGGCTGAAGCGGGGAGAGAAGAGCGAGAAGGCGGCTGTGCCCCGCCGGCGTTTACCCTCCATCTCGCCGTCGAGGTGGGACCGGAGAAGGAGGGGAGGCACCTCCCCGGCGTGGCTCCCGCGCCGAGAGAAACCGATCCCGCAGCTTTCGCCCCGCACTCCCGCAGCCGCCCCGCTGCTCCTCCGGGCCGCCTATTAATACCCTCGTGGCCGCTGGCCCGCCGCCATCCGCCTGCCCCGGCGGGGGCGGGCGACGGGGCACAGCCGGAGCGGTGCCGCCCGCAGGGAGCCTGGCTGCCCCCGAGGGTCAGGGAGGGCTGCGCTAAAGGCGGGGATGGTGGATGGTTTCATGCCCGGGGGTGGCCTTTCTTCCGAACTCGGGGGGTCGTGGCTGTCGCTGCTTGTGACAGTTTGTTTTGGTGCCTCTGAAACCTGACCCTGTGCCTCAAAACTCTCCCCGGGGCTGCGTGGCGCTCCCGGCGGCAGGCTGTCGGCAGCCGGGCTGGTCCAGCGCAGCCCAGCCCGATGCCATCAGCCTGGCCGCCCGCCGAGGGCAGTTTTCACAGAATCAGAGAATGTTCTGAGTTGGAAGGGACCGACAAGGGTCATCGAGTCCAACTCCTGGCTCTGCACAGGACCATCCCCGAAAGTCACACCATGTGTCTGAGAGTATAGTCCTAATGCTTCTTGAACTCTGACAGGTTTGGTGCTGTGACCACTTCCCTGGGGAGCCTGTTCCAGTGCCCAAACACCCTCGGGGTGGAGAACCTTTTTCTAATATCCAACCTAAACCTGCCCTGACACAACTTCAGGTCCTGTCACTGGTCACCAGAGAGAAGAGATCAGTCTCTGCCTCTCCACATCCCCTCACAAGGAAGTTGTAGACTGCATTTAGCACCCCCCACACACACACACACAGCCTACTCTTCTCCAAGTTGAATAGGGCTCTCGATGAGTTGTCGCTGACATCCCTGTTCCAGTTCATTCCAGGACACCAGTTCTATTCAATGGAACACAGGCCTTTTTAATTCTCATCCCTTTTTTTTCTTCTAATTACTACTTCTGATTTTCTCCTAATTACTACCTCTTAAAAAAGTAAGCAAGCATTCTTTTGGACAAAAGGCATTAGTCTGTTTTCACAAAAAGGTCTGAAAGTGTCCAAAAATTAAGTACCAATGCCCCCAAAAGTTTATCTTCCCTTAAAATTCAGGCCTGATTGAAATTTGACAAAGATTTTCAAAAGTCAGTTAAATATTTGCACATGAATTAAACATTTATTCACATGTAGTATCCTAATTTTCCTTGTTTGTGGGGAAACAAGCATAGCTCTTTTTTAACTTAACAACAGACTCTACTTAGTCATTAAAAACTTCTGCGATTGGAGAAGGTAATTTTGTAGCCCAGTAGATATCCTACACTGCAAGAGATAAGTATTTGAGCCTCATTGTGATAGATAAAAGTGGTGGATGTCACTAAATTAAAAAGTTCGTAGTTGCCTGGGAACAAGCTGATTGTATTCATCATGGGGAAATGAAAGACAGCCTCAGTCAAAACTATGCATTTCTGCTGCTTCAAGAGAGCTAATTTCCCCAAACTGAGAAAAACAGTAAAGGGAACCGACAAGGCAAAACATATTTAGTGTGAACATCAAAAGAGGAGCTCTCTTAAAGCTTCTATTAAATGGCCAAAAAACTGTGACTTTGCAATCACAGAAGGCAGTAACTTTACCATAAAAACTCAAATGTGGCTGTTAGAAAGAAAATGGAAAACAAAGAGAAATTATATAAATTACAGTTACTATAAATTACAAGTTACAATAACAGAAATTGATAAGTTAATAGGCAAGCAAGAAATCCAGAGTTTAAGAGCCAAAGATAAATAGGACATTAAAAGTGTGTTAGGAATAAAAGGAAACTCAAGGATGGTACTGGCCCATTACTAAATGTGGTATTTTGTTGGTGTGGAAAATGTAAATATGTTCAGTAAGCACTTTTGTGCTACAAAAGGAACAAGTTGATGGATCTCAAGGGGATTATGAAGAACTGCTCCAGCCTGCTAGTAATTAAGATAGGAATCATGACCACTCGTCTATAGGAAAACTTAGATAACTTTTACTCCCAGGCCCAGAATAGATATGTGGGCTCTTTCACCTGTCTTAGTAAACTTTGGAATACTTGTGAAATTCCAAAGGTGTGCTAATCTTACACCAGTAGTCAAAAAGGGGCAAGTGAAATGAGAGAAAAATATGGGCCAACATAAGCACCCTAAATAATAATAGGAGTAAAATTTAATTTTAAAATATTTCAAAGAAATTAATAGAAATAATTCCAGTCTTTTTTAGGAAGACCAAGTCTAATCAAACTTCTCTAAATTCATTCTTTGATGAGACTGCTCGTTTGGCTGTGTGCATATTGATAATTTAGACTTTTAAGAAAGTCTGGAAGAAAATGTAGTATCCCATGAGATCATTAAAGCAGATGCTAAATTGGCTAAGCCTTGCCAGATGACTGATGACAAAAAGTAGTGGACACTAAAGGAATTGCATGTTTCTGTGAAAAGGGGATCACATCTGAAAATGACACAAAAAGGAGAGAAATGGCAAAGGTATCAGTCAACCATGTGAAGTAGTCTGAATTGAGTGGCAAACTGGACCTTGTCAAACAAAATGCATTTACTATAACTAAAGCATAATTACTATAATTAAATCCCAGTAAACAAGCTTGAAGGATTGTGGGTGTGTACTGAGAAGAAAATAGCACTTGCTGGAAAAGATTTAGAGGTTGTAGTCACCAACTCATCATAAACACTTGCTCTGACACTGGTAAAAGGATGGATTAACCTGCATCAGGGAAGTAGGAAGTAGGGGAGATAGTTCTATCTCTGGATATATCACTGATGAGACCAATCTTGTATACTGTGTTCCTGGACATGTTTTAGAAAGAACATCAAAAAATTGTAGAGGGGCAGATTAATATCTGAAAATATGACTTGAGAATTGAAGAAAAATTCTGCTAAGTGAGACTTAAAGAGCACAGTCTGTTTATCGTATTAAAAAGATTGACTTGATTACAGAAAAGTACCTCTATGGAGAAAAAAATTACTGAATTCTGAAGAGCTCTTTAATCTAGCAGAGAATGGCATAACAAGAAGCTGTAGTAGAAACTGAAGTGAGACAAATTCAAATAAAGCACACAATTTTTCTTCTTAAGGTGACAATACATCACTGAAACAAGCTAACAAAGGCACCAAGAAATTTTTAATGGTTACACATCTGCCAGCCAGGACAGGATGTCTTTCTGGAAGACAGGTTTTAGCCAAATGCAGGTTACTGCCCTCATATTGCTTCTACATGTGTGAAATTTAATGACACAGGATACAGAGGAAATCAGACCATATGACTAAATGGTCCTTTGTGTCTTAATTTTTTCTTCTTACACTAGGTAATTATAAGAAGGGGTGGCTACTGATGAGCATGTGCTCAAGATGATATTCTTTGTCAACTGACTGCAATGAGTCTGACAAACATGACTACCCTGAGTGTGTAGGATTCTAAATGATCACAGTACATGAGACATTCTTGGCAAGCAGAGTATGAAATATGAAAGACAATCAACATTAGTCACCTATTTTCATTTGTCAGTGCACTAAGCTGACAAAATTTCAATTCCTCTGGGTCACAAAGGAGCTCAGAAGAGCTTAAGGAGAAGCTGAAGAAAAGGGCAGAAGAATGAATCCGTTAAAAACACTGGCCATCAAACTTAGGTAATATGATAATTAAACCCAAGGTTTGAAATGCTGGCAGGCAAACCAGACAACTAATTCAATATGCAGTATTACACTAGTAAATATACATCAGTTTTAAATATTTATGGATTTCTTGCCCAGCTTCTGCGTAAATGAATCAAGTTACCTCACCTGAAGCTATGATCCCCCATAATGAGCTGTGGTATGCAATGAAGACTAAAAGGTTTGACACGACAAGTAATGCCTACCTCTCTGAAGGCAGCCAGGACCACACAACTGAATTGTGTTGCACATAAACTATTGAGAACTGCATTTAAACATTGATGAACTAACATTCTTCTTAAATTGTTGTATTTGCCAGGATGTGAACTTGCATCTTCTCTCCTCTGCTTCCAAAGTTGACATGGCAATGTTCACCTCAGTGGCCTTTCTATTTTCATCATCCTTCCCCTCCCTGAAGTTTATTCTATGAAGACAAAACATTTGAACAAGTAAGGAACCTTCTCTAAATTGTGCAGGACCCCAATGGCTGTAAACAAATAGTTAAAACAGAACAGTAGAATAACAATACATTCCTTACTTAAGAGAGAAAGAATTATGTTGAAAAAAGTTCATTTTAGAGATAGCATGTAAAATTTTTTTTCAAATCCACTACCCCAAAATTCCAAACATGGGTGTTTTCAAAAAAACCCCTCAATTTTATTTAAGAGGCTAAAAAATTTTGACATACCTAATATTGGTGTGCAAGCTCTTAACACCCTGTGATTAGTTCTGACTTTTAGAAATTATTTAGAAAAGTACTAGACCCTTTAGATGGTCTTAAAGATGAAGGCTTTTAAAGTTACCTTATACTTTACAAAGCTAACCTAGAACATATATAAAATAGAGTCTCAGGTCTTTTTCTGTATTTTTCCCTGGAGAAGCCATGGGCTCCATTTTTAGAATCACAAAGAATTCACAACTCCAAGTGGAATGGGGAAAGAAAGCTGCATGGAAGTGTCATGGTTACCTCCATTGGTATCAACATCACCTGTGGAACTCAAACATTAGTAGTCTGATGTAGGTAACCAAGCAGGGAAGAAAAAGCATTAAGAGGTTGAAGGACATTCATTACCTATTTGATGCCTAGAGGAATAATGTTGCTGTGCTACTAGAGACCAACCAAAGGTGAAGACTGATCATTCTATACGCTAAAGTGAAGAAGTAGTTAGGTTCTCAAGTTGCAGCATCTGATGCCTTCAAAGGAACAATATGGCATTGGCTGGCTGACAAAACACATTGTTCAGAACATCAAGGCTCAAAACAACATAACATATTTAGTGAGGCTTGGACCCTACAGGCATCAGCAAAGACAACAAAGCCAGCAGAAATTTAGTCAACTTGCTGACAAGTCTTTTCTGGTTTCATAGACCTATCTTAGATATCCATGTTGTATATTT